TCCTGATTTGGGATGTATATGGCCGCGATTGTGGGCTATAGAAGGCGGGTGACGCACGCGGTGGCCTCCCAGGTAACGACATCCACTCTCGTACTCTGCCGCCTTGGACCCTCAGCCATCCCACCCGATGCCCAGTTTGGGACAAAGCCGGGCGTGCTTGTGGGCTGCAGAGCGCTGCGACGCGTCTTGTATCCTCCCAGGCGGACGGCGTCCCGGACAGCGAAACCCACCCTCGTGCGTTTGGTGGGGGGCTGCCGCGTCCGGCGAGACCAACGAAAAGGAGGCAGTTTGGCCGCGGGCGGTGTCGTCATTGACGCCCGTGATTTGTCCCGCAAAGGACGGAACGGAGGGCACACCCGCCAAGGGACGGGTCTCGAGAGGCCGGGGCTGCCCTGGGTAGCTCCAAGTCGGCGTCCGGGCTCGGAGGGCCAAACAGGCCGATCGACAAGAACAAGTACCTCGCAATGCACGTTTTTCATCTCTGGTATTCTGTGATGCCTCGTCTCGACTAACCCGACATGCTGCTTTCTTGCCTCTTGCTTCCTCCCCGTACGCCCCCGCCCCTCACGCTCCCTTCGCCCTCGTCATCGGGCCCCAGTTCTCCCGCGGGTTCATCTGGTATCTGACCAGCTTCCTCTGCTCCTTGCGCTTGCCGAGCTTCGCGAGCTTGTCGTCGAACACGAGCGTCTTGCGCAACTCCTCCTGAGACGCCGTCTTCCCCTCCTCGCTGTTGTCCGTCTTCTCGGCCTCCGCCGAACCCTCCTTCATCTCGATGTCCGCCGGCGCCTGCTTCTCCTGCAGAACCGCCGCCTCCTCCTGCTGCTCGTTGGGCTCGGCCTCCTCCTGGGCCTCTGCGCTGCTCTCCTTAACCTCCTTCGCCTCGCCGTTGCTCTCCGCCTGGTCGAGGCCGAGCAGTCTGTACGCCGGCATCTGCGGGTTGATGCGATCCGTGCGGACGGGCGCCTTCTGGCGAACCCACTCCCGCATGACGAACCAGATCGCCTCCCACGGCGCGTCCGTCTTGACGCTCCCCGGCCGGCAGTGGCTGCGGGTGACGCGGTAGCCGAGGTGCTTGAGCGCGCCGCGGAACAGGTCGTCCGGCGGCTGCTGCGTGCTGAGCGTGCCGGCGAGCCTGGAGGGCATGACGAAGAAGGGGTAGTGGTCCACCCTCGCCAGCTCCTTGTCCTTGGGGTCGAGGTCCTCCTCGGGTTCCGGGCCGGGGAGGTACTCCTCCATGGCCGTGTGGAGCATGCCCTCTATTCTCGAGGTCGTCTGGTAGACGTTCTTGTCGACGGTCGGCAGGAGGTCGAGGATGCGCTGGATGAACTCGGGGTTGTGCAGCGGGCCGCTGTACATGGGGCCCGCGATGTGCATGCTCGAGCCGCAGTGCTTGCAGTGCGAGTCGGTCGGGGGGCCCTGCGACAGGCCGTGCTTGTAGAAGTAGCCCTCCTTCTTCTTGGGGGCCGGCCGCGTCCGGACCATGGGCTGCGTCTCCCACGCCGAGCATCCTGGGCAGTTGTACATGATCATCGTCTTGCCGCCCTGGTAGTTGACCGCGTCCTTGGACTTGCGCACCTTGACAAAGACTCGGCAGTAAAAGTCGATCGAAAGGGACAGCTGCGGCTCGATGGTCAGGCCGTACTTTGCCGCGGCGCTCGTCAGGGCGTGGAGGATGACGCGGATGCCGACTTCGTGGGAGTGGAGGCCCTTCACGGGAACACCGCCGTACAGCGAGAAACACTTCTCGGCGTAGCAGTGGCCGGCCCAGTGGCTACCGTCCGTGCAGGTAACGGCAAGCAGGCCGCCATCGTCCCTGACGGCCTGCACGGCGGCATCCAGGAAAGGCGCAGCAGTTCCGTAAGGGTCCAGGTCGATGGCGTCGTACTTGTTCTCCTTGCTGGGGTTGCCGAAGCGGTCCCGGTTCGTCAGGTCGTCCGCGATGCGCCGGTACATGTGGGCGATGGCATCGTCGTGGCTCATTTGGATCTTGTCTTCCAGGCCGTTGTGCTTCGTGTTCAGCTTGATCGACTCGATTGCGCTCTTGGTGAGATCGTTGGCGGTCACGGAGGTGACAAAGGGCAGCTCGTGCGAATACCGCAGCGCACGAAGACCAGAGGCCGACAAGGCGTCCAGAACGGTGAAGCGAGGGGGCGACTTCTCGGGGGCAGACTTTGCCTCGCCTTCGGCCTTTCCGTCCTGGGCCTCGGCAGACGTCACGGTCGTCTCTGAGACCTCCGCGCCGGCGCCACTGACACCGTTCTCGGGTTCCGCCGCCGGGGCCTCGCCATTGGTCGTCTCGGCCGCCTTGCCGTCGTCCGTGATCTGAACCTTGGCCGGCCGGTTGCCGCCCTCGTCCGCAGCACCCCTCCGCCTCTTCTTCTCCTTGCGCCTGGAGGCGACCTGGGCGGCCTGCGCGGCCTTCCTCTCGACAACCTCCTGGCCGTACGCTCTAATGGCGAGAACGGAAAGGTCTCGGTTGAACTGCTGGATCGGGTTGTAGAAAACCTGCTGGCCCTTCTTCTCAACTTCGACGGGGACCAAGATGGTGGCCTTGCCCTCCGTTATGCCCCTGTAGTCCTTGCCATCGTAGGTGATGACCGGCTCTTCTCCGCTCATGGTGCCGGTGTTATTGCCTTTGGTGGATGAATTGCTGCAGAATCTGATGAATGGCGCACAGTGACTCGAGACTGTCTGACCCCGAGGGATGACTGAGCAGTCCCTTAATCCGAGTGAGATGAAGTTGGACAATGGAAGCCGTGTATGAAAATGCCGGCTCGCAGCGCGTGTGGCCAGGCGAATTGCTCCCCGAAAGCACGGCTTCAACATAAAGTCACCTCATGTGAATGGGTCACAAAATTTTGGGTCGACTTCACTTTGGCTCGCTGAAGTCAAAGGTTGCCGCTGGTCCACGAGAGAAATTTCAGTGGGTCCGAACATTCTGCCAAAGGCGGTGAGCCACTGGTGACATGCTCGACCATGCCAGGCTTGCTTCACCAGGAGACCCCTACCACCACCAAGACATCACCACAACTTCACGTCTGCAACGCAAGTCGATGTAGTACAAATTTGACTGTCTTTTGGTCTTTAATTCCATGTTGGATCAGCTGGAAAACATCGTCCCTATCATCTGCTGTGCCTAAAGCCCTCCTCCTAAAAAATGGATCTAAACCCCCCGTCTGAATTACCGCGAGCGATTCTCGTCTTGATCAATAGGCAATGTAGTTCAACAGGGTAAACAAACAAGCCCCCCATGATTTCATATCCTCGCCTTGACGTATTATCATTCACGTTACTTCTCTTCAGTGGCAGTCTGGGGAGCAGCTACCGAAAGCCTGGTAGCAATGACCGAGTTGGCTGCGTTGGGTGTCGCTGGTCCGGGCGTGCCCGGCTTTGGCGGCTCGCCGCCTTGCGGGCCACCCGACAGAACCGAGCTCGGGGTGTAAGTTGCTGGGATATTTGCCGAGACGGTCTTCTTGGCCTCGTGGTACAGATCGAAGCAATGGATAAGGGCTTGATCGACAGACATATCCTCAGGGACGATACCGGTGTCGAGGATCTTTTTGAGGTGGTCTTCAACCTCGTCGAACTCCGCCTGGTCGGAGCGATAGCGGTCGGGCAAGCCGCTATTGTGCAAGAGTGCGAGGATGCCAGCATTTATAGTGTTTGCAGCCGCAATGATGGTGATGGGAGTGCCGTCTTTGTACGACATGGAGCCGATTGCGGTGAGGATTGCACCAAAAATGATCTGCAGAATGTAGGAGATCCATCGAATAGAGCTCATGCCGTGGTACATGTAGAAGTACTTGCTTCGGTGCCAGATGACGTCTCGGTAGAGACCGTTGGGAATGCCCTTGGGTGGGTAGTACCAGCAAGTCGGATGGAGTGCAATGTGGCCCTCGGTGTCGTTGACGCCGCCGATACCGTGAGCGACGATGGCCCATTCCGAAGGGGTGAGGAAGCGGTATCTGATTCGACGCTGTTGCTTCTGCTTTTTGGAGCGCGCTTGGAACGCGGATTGACCCGGCTCTTCATCCGACTGTTTAGAAGCATCAGCCTGCGCGTTGTCGGGTGCCATCTCGGCCTCGATGCCGTCGAGTTGCAAGGGAGGAAGCTCTCGCATGGCTGGAGCCCGGGGCCAAGCTGTTGGAAGCAGAGCAGACTGAAGGTCGGAAGCAGCGGCACGTCTCTAGTGTGACCAAGATCAGTGGTGAAGCAAGATTGATGGACAGCAAAACGCCCGCATAGAACGTCGTCGAAGGCGTCGACGTGTTGCGAGATGCCAGTCCAAAGACTATGACACGCACAGAATGTCGAGGGGGACCGGCAGGGGCGAAGAAAGAATGGGACTAGGGAGAAATCAAGCCGAACGCATCATAGAACAAGAGGGAGCTGCCGTTGCGTCTTGGTCTCCGAAAGGCATCCGGTACCTTCTCGGAAAGTATGGCGACATATCTCGGGGCAAGGCAAGAATGACGAAAGCCAGCCAGCCTCAAGGGGCTTCTGTTTGCTTGGAGAAAGGAAACCCCGATAGAGTCTCATACTGGTTAACTCGGCAGTAAGTGACCGAGATGGATGACTGCACTTTCCTTTTTCTTTTTCTTCACTTCTAAAGGACGAATGCAGCGCACTGGGAAACGGGAAGTTGGCAGGCCGGCTCCTTTTTGCCGTTTCCGCCCTGCAAACCGGCTTTCATCGAGGGAACATCAGTACTGGCCGTGGGATCGATCCTGCCCAGAACTTCCCTCTTCACTTTCCAAAACAACCCTCGCTTCCAGACAACCAGGGAACTTGGAAGTGTGGTTCGCCATTTCGTGACTGCATTTTCGTTGCTTCGCGAATCGAGCCCGGCCCGTCCGCGGACACTCCTGCCCGGTAACTCAACATCAGCACACAGCCACCTGCCCCTTCCACCCTGCACTTTCCCATCCGGCTCGACCACCATCTGTTCCTTTCTGAATCCATTCGAAGCAAAGGCTCTCAATAATACACAGGACCAATCCGGCCGATTGGTCAAGTGATAAGATGCTTGCTTTGGGTTCGCTCGAAGTCCCGCAAGAGTCTCGCGTTCGAATCGCGGGTCGGCCCCTTTTTGCCGCCCTTCATGCTTCACGACACATTGGAGACCTGGGACTTCACCAGAAGTTGACTATAAAGAGATTCATATTCTCTGGAGAAAGCATTGCGTATTTAGGACCATTCATACACATGTACCAATGATTCTCTTTACCTTCCGCCCTTTTGAGCAGAGCCCAATCCAGCACCAACAAATATCTATGGAGACGTCCGGGTATGTTGCCCATATGAACTGGAGAAACATCTCCTAGGCCTGATGTAATTCACTCGGACAACCCATATAGGATCCTACCCAACAGCTTATGCGTTGCTTAAAGGAAACCTTGGGGGTTGACAGACGCTTTTTATACCCAGAGGATTGGCCGCCTCATGGCGGATGTAATTAGGTGACGCCATGATCAATACTTCCTCGTGGCAGAACACACAGAAGGACTGCCGCTTGGTCAACGACTTTCTCAAAGTAGAGCTGGGCCAGAGGAGTCTCTTGAATGAGCTGCCCAAGAATCGACCGAAACAGCGCTCGTCGACGGTGAAAGCCACGGCGACCTGACCGCATGCAAGTGCCTCCGCAAACAACGACACATTGCTGCGCAGGCTGGACACAAACAACCCAGGCAAAGAGCTAGACAAAGCGTGGGTTCTCGTCCTTGCAACAATGAACCAAGACGCCTTGGGTAGGGCGACCTGAAAGTCTCGAACGAGTGACCATGCCGGGCCGCCAAGAGCACGAAGAGCATTGTCGCCTCGAACCCAATCCCAAACCCGCACGATGAGAAGCCCGGCACGGACTTCCGAACGGCAACGTGAAAGCAAACTGGCGCCCCCCCATCGAGGGTTCGTCCACTTTAAAAGTCCCTCAGCTTTGATCCTGACGATAAGACGCCTGCTGCGCGTCCCGTTCTTGGCTCCCACCCAAGCCGCGTAAGCGCCGTAAGCAGACGTCTGGGGCCAAGACCCCGTGATTCGCCGGCGCCGGGCTTCAGCTCTGCTGCCTGGAAGGCACCCCTCCAAATGCGCAGAGCGCCAGAGGCCGCGCAGAGAGGGAAGCAAAGGGACGGAGGAGGTGGGTTGACGTCAAGGCAAAAGTGCTGAACAAAAAAACAACAACAACAACGGCAAGGCGTACTCGGCGGACAGCGACCGTTCCCGGCACCACTGGGGGCATATATGTGTTGCGCCTCCCAAGTAGACCAGGCAGACTTCTGAAATGTCTCTGTACAGCCACAATCTACAAAGCCCGTCGCAAGCCCGACTCCTCAGCTGCCTCGGTCATTCTGCCTCGCCTGCCTCGTGCCAACCAAACGGCGTCCTCTTCAAATGTGCATCCCCCGCCCGCGCAGACACCGACCCCAGACCGACACCTCACCCATCAAAAACGGCCCCTACCAACGCCTCGCCTCCCCGCCCCCGACGCCCCGGATGGCACCGAGACCCACCTCCGCACCGGCGCCCTTGGCCGGCGGACCGCCCCCGCACCCGTCAACCTCCCGCGTGGCCTCCCAACACGAGCGCCTCCTCCTCGAGCTCCTCCCCTTCAAAGACGCCGCCAAGTTCCACGAATGGCTCGACAGCCACTTCGTGCGCGGGTCCTGGGACGAGTTCTACGCAGACTACCTCTCCGGGACGCTGCTGGCCGGCGCCGGGCCCAACCCCGTCCCGGAACCGGACAAGACCCGCACGGCGCAGACGGCGCGCGAGGCGCTCAACGCCCGGAAGCCAAAGTTCCTCGTCTACCACCCGGACAAGACGGGCTGGGCCGCCGAGGACCACTACGTGCGCTTCATCGTGACGCTCGTCGCCGACAACGGGCTGCAGAACCTGTGGTCCGAGTCCGAGTGGAAGAAGAAGGGGCTGGACATCGCCAAGGCCGCGTATGAGGTGCTCGTCTTCCTCAAGACGACGATGCCGCACGCCGACCCGGACCCGCCGAGCTACTCTGCATGAAATAATGTACTTTTTCCCTTTTTCATTCATCTTTATTTCGCTTTCCTTCCGTCTCTGAACTTCGCAAGGTCGGAGGCTGTGTAAAAATCCAGGGGCGAAGGGTCTCCATTGCATAGGCACGGCGTTCTCAATGCTTTCCCTTTGATTTGTCTTGCCTCGAGCGGTACGGGAAGCAATTGGGTTCCAGGGAAGCGCCGGCCCCGTTTCTAGTTCACCATGGACAGATCAGATCTACGGAATAAATCTCGTGAAGAATAAAGTCGCACAACAGACGCGCCGTGACACCGCAACGTATCCGTGTAGAGCGACTGCCCCCGGGAATTGACTATTATGGTTTTTTCGGACTTGGTGCCGAGCTCAAATCAAAAGGACGCCCTCGTCCAAGGCGGGCATCGTTGCTCAGGCTCGAACCACAACGCTATTCTGGCCTTGGGATAAGATGCCAAGAGGGGCAGTCTCAAGGGACGGAACGAGGAGGGGCCCTCGATTGGAAATGAAATGGGCGGCGGGGTTATCGGACCCCCTCACGATTGAGTTTGAGCTCCGGCCGCAACTCCGAGCTCGAATAGAAAAGCCGCCCGCCTTCACGAGCAACTCCTGGTGACCAGACAACGCGCCGTACCGGCTTCGGGGTTTGGGAGTGGTAGGAGGGGACATCAAGCGAGACCGAAGAGAGGCGAATGCCGAGTTGAGTCGCAATCCGTTTCCGAATCTCACATGATAACGTCAGAGCCGTCGGCCTCGAACCCCGAGGTGGAATTGGAGGAATGCCGTCATTCCCCCGAAAGCTTCTCCTCAAGGGACACGGTACCGTCGTTACCTACTACCCGGTGGAGGTACACCGAGGGACCAAAGAAGAGGTCTCGACCGTTTCTCGGGAAGTCTGCTGCGTCTGTCTTTCATGCGGCATGAGCGACCCCTCCCGGAGCATTAGGCATTCGAGCATGAACCAGCTCTAATATCACAGAGGCCCCCACTGCATGAGTTGACATGTGATGGCAACTCAACATGGCGGACCGCATGGTCATAGACGGAAGACATCTGACGTAGGGCGCGGGTGCTGCGGAAGGTATAGAGAACCGCAACCGCAACCACACACCCTTTCCCAACTTGCCGCAGACATACCGAGGAGAAACGCTGACAAACCTGTCCCGACGAACTCTCTCAAAGTTTGTCCATCAAACCAATTGCCTCTACGCACACGCCACCCTCTCTATCCACCTCGCAGAGTTGAGGAAAACACCGGGAACACATACGGTCAGAGAGAAGTGCCGTGGATGGGCCGTAAAACGAGCTCAACGTACGTTTTTGTTCTGCTGTTATCCATTGGGTTACACACGCTCTGGTTGACGAGCCTCTCGGCGCAAATACTGCAGTCGGCGCGAAAGGGACTCAGAGCCCTGTCCCAGCAGAGACGAGCAAAGCGCTCCTGTGCGAAAGCTAGGAGATGGGCGTATACTTGCCGAGCCACGTTATCCCACCAGCGTCGCCCGCAGTGAGCAAAGCTTGCGGTTGCACTTCGACAACGTCAACGTTCGATATACGGGTCGGGGGGACGTCTACTGCGATAATGGCGACTGCCTGCCAATCAACCAGTTTCATAGAAGCGGTCTAGGACCTCGCATATGCAAGACGAGAATCGAGAGATGCGAGCGACGCCACAAAGAGCCAAGATGGGCGGATGCAATAGGTAGCAACACACCAACACGGCGGAGTACTTCGCTGGCAATGCGTAAAGAGAGAGAGAGAAAGAGAGACGATGATTATCTAGTCTCTGCAACATAAAAATAGAGCACCGCTGCCAGCGTGGACGAGGGGACGAGGGGAAAGTGCGGGAATGGGTGCGTTTTGCGTCGATGGGCAGACCGGGGGGGGGGGGGGGGGGGGGGGGGGGGGGGGGGAGCGGGAAAAGTGCATGATCGCTGCGAGTCACCCGCTGCAAGGTCGACTCTGCTCGTCCTCTTCCAATATGTTCTTTTCTTTGCCCCCCCCCCCCCCCCCCCCCCTCTGCTGCATCAGAAACGACCGCCGAATCGTGCTTCTACGACTCGCCGAGTTGGGGACCGCTAAAACAATGCATGTTATCAAGGTCGGAGAGGCAAACATACACGCCATGGACGGCCAGCCGGCAGTGGTGACGGCAACGCGGGCCAACGGGAACGGCATTGGGCCCCCAGAGACATCGAACGATGTAAGGCGGGGACGCGAGGAAACGATAACGGTAGAGACAACTGCGGAGACGGTAGCATTGAACAACGAAACAAAACAAGCAAAGGTCGTGGAACGAGACAGGGGACAAGCCAGCCCACATACGGTGAAAGCAGAGGGAGAGACGGATGTTGCATCGTATCAGTGCATACCGTAGAGCCCAAGACAGGACGAGTCTTGGCTGTGCTGGGTTGAGCAGGACGCGCGCACCGCGGCTCTCGCCAATGGATGAACAGATGCTGGGGTATATTGCCTGTCGCTCGGTTTCATTGAGCCTCCCTCCCGCACGAAAAGATCCTGGAAAGGGAAGGGGAAGGGGGAAAAGATGGAGCCAGGGTTGGTCGACCTGCGCATGATTAAGCGGCATTGTGGGCTGACGAGGAGCGGGAGGCGCCCAAGGTCTGCAGCGGAATCGTCTCAAGTTGGCGGTGGGATCTGATGTTTTTTCTCTCCCTTCTTCCTGTGCGGATGCGGCTGTACGTGTGCGCGAGCGTGTAGTGCATGTAAAGTACTCCGTACCACAGCGTGGAGGAACCGCATCGCCCGCCCACACTCTTTGCGCTGTCGTTTTGCTACGGTGCGGTACTTCCCCGTGGTTGCATCGGGATGCGACCCGCGGCGACTGGGCGATCTGTGCAGTAGTACGGGTTGTGCCCGCAGTTCTAGAGGCCCAGAGAAGAGGAAGAGTTTTGAGTCGTGGTGAGCACGTATACGTACCGTCGCAAAGTAGGTCGTGGATCGGAGGCATGTTCCGTCCGTCCTTGCAGCGGGAGAAGCCCGTGGCAGCAGGAACATCAAGATGGGCGGTGGCAGTCGGTTGCAGATGGTGGTGTCATCGTTTCGACGATGTCATGTATAAG